GTAATGTTAATATTCCGGATATACACGGGGTAGGGGTGTTCATCAACCGATCCAAACCGATTCAAACTGCGAAAACCGAACCGAAAAATCGATAACCGAATAAATCGAAAACCGAAAAATCTGAAACCGAAAGAAAACCGCAAATTATAATTGGATTGGATCGGTTTTCGGATGGGTTGATGAAAATCGATCCAATCCAAACCGATCCAATATATTAATTATCCTCTACCTACTTGTCCTTTCTCCAATCATAGCCCAAAAATTTCTAAACTCAAGACCCATTAACTCATCAACTAAACCAAAAAAAAAACTTAGTCACGTCTCATCAACTATAGTATTGTTTAGTGATATTTTTTTATTTCAATTCTTATTTTTTTTTACAAAGCCAATATGTACAAAAGATGTTATTTGTACAATAATCATGAAACTAATTTTAGGATATTCAAAAAACCGAAAAACGACCCAATCCAAACCGAAAAAAATTGGATTGGATCGGATCGGATTTGAAAAAAATCTAAACCGAATGGATGATTACATGATCAAACCGAAGGATTGGATCGGATGAGTTTTGCTTCCAAAACCGATCCAATCCAGACCGCGAACACCCCTAACACGGGGTGTTACAATTAGCTTGTGAATATCGATTTGTAGATGTAATTGGTTGAATTATATTAAGTATATTTTGAATATTTAATGATGGGTGGTTTGATTTTTTTTGAATTTTTTATATAGAATATATAATTATATTTTTTTAATGTATAAAACAGGGTCAGCGAAGTGATTTCGTGACCCCCCAATTGAACTCGTGACCCCTGACCTCGGCTGAATCGATGGCCGGACCGAGTTTTTAAACACTGATTTCAACACTACACTTTCCCAAAGAAAAATATCATCTGACCCATGATATAATTTTTTTCCCACCCCTTGGGAAAAGATGAAGCAAATTGTTGGACAAAATTGCCCTGTCTTGGGAAACTATTAAACAGATGATATATTCAAACAAATGGATATTTTGTAATTCCATTCAATATTCTCAATATTTTACAATCAATCAAATATAGCATCAGAAAAATAACCCAACATTTTCGAAAAAAATTTGTCATACCAAACAACTTTTTGATAATATTCTCAAAAAAAAAAAATCCTACCATATTGCCATAAATCATGATTTTCAGATAAATTTTTTTCTCTCGTACCAAACACCTCCACTTAAACTACCAGATTTTATCTTGCTCTTCTTAAGAACGTGATTATATATTATCCTGAATTGGAATTCCGCGTAACACTAATCAAGAAAGATATGTTGCTAGTGAGTAGGGGTGAAACTGGGCCGGACCGACCTACAGGGGCCTACGGCTCGGCCTACATCAGGCCAGATCTGACCTAGTATATTTTGTATAATAGGCCGGACTTGGGCCTTAAAAAAGCCTGTTTAATAAAAAGGTCGTAGGCCCACTTTCAAAAGGCCGGACCTATAAGCCCACAGGCCAACCTATATTGTACTATTTATTTTAAATAAAATAAAATAGAGCAAGTATGTCTTGAAAAAAAAAACAAAAGATATAAATTTAATCAATTGCAATTATTTATAACTTAATTATATTCGATTATATTTTAATAGAAATCTTATTTTATTTCTTATATAGGAGGAACCAACATCTCAACATGTTAGATTGTATATATGAATATATTAAAAGATTTTTGGGAGAATTATACTTACTACAAGCAACATGATTTGTTTGTTGGATTCATGTAGTTATTTTAATTTACATAGTATGGATTTGTTTATTGGATCTGATGAAATATATGTTATTTAGTTTGAGCATTTTGCTTTCGAAAATGACTGAAGTGCATATTGTATGAGTTTTGTTATGATTCATGATTCTGTTTGGACGTTGAAATTATGATTTTTGGTGTAGCAACTGAATTTGAGTACTTTGTAAAGTTGATTCATGGTTCTGCTTGGAAGTTAAAAATTAACAGGCTAACGGGCCAAGCCAGGCCATTTGTTTTTTTATAAACGGGCCAAACCAGGCTAACGGTTAGACTCATACTAGGCTTGAGCCAGGCCAAATTGAAATTTTTTGACGTAGGCTTGGGCTTCTCGGGGCAAAGCTTGGCCCAGCCCAGTCCACTTTCACCCCTACTAGTGAGTGCCCATGTTAGCTGACTGCAGTGGTAACAAAATGTTCACAAAGAGAGAGAGAGGGAATTACGAATGCATGTACACAAATTAGGGCTTTTTGACCTTTTTACCCTTCATTAATTAATTAATAACTATTTTGCTATGGTGCACCGATAGCAACTATGTAGCACCGATACTGACACGGGACACGTGACACGATACGACACGACACTTCGTCACGTTAATTCTAAAAAATGTTAGATTTCGACACGTTAGGACACGTTTTGATATTAAATAATATTTTTAATTTATGTAGTATATATTATATTTAATATTCAATAATTTAACAAAAAAATGAATCTAAACTTATAATATTCATAAATTTTGCAAAGAAACATAAGATATCCCAAATATTTATATTAAACTCAATAAAATAGTAATCATAATCCAACGAATCTAATAGTTGAAACTAAAAACTCAACGCAATATAACCTTTGAACCTTTTTTTGAATTTCTATAACGCGTGTTGGAGTGTCGAGGAGTGTCGGAGTCTCCGAGAGTGTCGGGAAGTGTCGGACACGACACACCAGAATTTTTGAAGTGTCGGTGCTTCATAGCCTACCAATTTGCCCCTCTTTAATCGATTAACGTGAAGATTTAATCGATTAAATGGTCAAAACTGGCAAAAATGGTTGACTTGAAGATTTAATCGATTAAATCTTCAAGTTAATCGATTAAATCTCCCAACAGGCAATAAATGTCAAATCTCCTCCATAAACAAAAGCAGATTCCATGCATATTTAATAAGATTTGATTGCGATTTGTATTTAATAGGAGCTGATTGCATTTTGTATTTAATATGAGCTGATTGCGTTTTGTATTTAATAGGGGTTGATTGTGTTTTGAATTCATTTCATTGAAATGTTGCTCATAAATAGGCTTAGAATTACAAATTACAAATAAATTTGAATTGGTGACAATCTGTAACCAACTCGTAAAATGACAACTCCTAATAAAACACAATCAACTCCTATTAAATACAAAATACATGCAACTCCTATTAAATACAAAACGCAATCAGCTCCTATTAAATACAAAATGCAATCAGCTTCTATTAAATACAAAACGCAATCAATCAATACTTTCACACTCATTTGGTATAATTACTCATTTCATTGAAATGTTGCCCATAAATAGGCTCAGAATTACAAATTACAAATAAATTTGAATTGGTGACAATATGTAACAACTCGTAAAATAGCAACTCCTAATAAAGCGCAATCAGTTTCTATTAAATACAAAACACATTCACCTCCTATTAAATACAAAGCGCAATCAATCAATGCTTTCACGCTCATTTGGTATATTTAATCGATTAAATATAAGTTTTAATCGATTAAATCAATTAAAAGGGAGATTTAATCGATTAAGAGGGATATTTAATCGATTAAATCTTCAAGTCAATCATTTTTGCCAGTTTTGACCATTTAATCGATTAAATCTTCAAGTTAATCGATTAAAGAGGGATAGATTGGTAGATAGTTTTGGATAAGGGGCAAAATGGTTATTAATTAATTAATGAAGAGCAAAAGGGCCAAAAAGTTCACAAATTAGTCTCCCAAATGAGTTAGATAGTGAAATTATTATGTTATCTTTTTTAAAAAGTAAAAATAAAATATTATGCTATCTAAACCTTCCAAAACAATATAATACATTTTTATATATAAGTCAGACATACAAAGGTGATCTATGAAGCGTTTGGTACAGGAGAAATTTTTATTTGTCCGGGAATCTCAATTTTCAAAAATATAATTTTTACATTCAGTTTATGATAATATCTGAAAATTTAAAATTTTAAAAATTTCAGTTTCCATAAATTCAAAAAAAATCTGTGTACCAACGTAATGTTCACAGAACTAAATTCACGAATCAATTGGCCTAATGAGAAAAGCATGTAAGCCAGAGAACTTACAAAGTACAGATGCACGCCCAAATTCTGCTGACCAAACCTTGACAATTTTATCATCACCAGCGGAGACAAAGAACTTCCCTTTTGCACCAAACTGAATAGCGCTTATAATCCTAATGAGGTGGCCCACTAGAGTCGTTGACTAAAGAAGCTGCAGAGCCAGCACTCTGTGACCAAGTTAAACCATCCACAAAGTTATCATTTTTAACCTCGGATAAATATTAAAAAAATAAAAATAAAAATCCTAGTAAGTAGTAACATACATGGCTCTTTTTATTTTTATTTTTAGGAGCGGGCCTTATAATCATATTAATCATATTTTGATCTGTAAAAGGACAAATGAATTGTTGAATAGCAAACTTAATTTTGATTTACTGGACTTAGTATTATTTGGTCCAAATATATTAGGAGTAATTTAGCCCAATTTCAAAAATAGTCTGCTCTAAATTACTTACGATAGTTCTAGAGATTTGTTGCACCTATCATAATTAATAACTCTAGAGAGTCACTTATAGCCATTGAATGAGAAACGTGTTCCTATAATCCTAACCATTGGTACCATTAGTATAAATAGATATGTTTTCGGACATTTTGAATCAAGCCAAATAGAAAATGAATATTATTGAGTAGAAATAAGAGAAGCCTCTTCCATCTAATATAAATAACAGTAATTTAATATTCATACGCTTCCTGATGTTGCGATACATTTTCTTTCAAGGCATGGGAAAATGATAGTCAATAACCAAATAGCTTTTCTAATTAATTAAAACCAACAAAATAGTAGTACATCTTCATATCAAATTATTGTATTGAATATTCATTATTTACACAAGTACATATATCTTTTGTGGCAAGGAAAGCTAAACATAAAATTTAAGTATTAGCTCAAGTGTCTGTGACTCAAAATCAGAATTTGGAGATGGTTGAGACAAAACTCGCAATGACAAGAAGATAGAGCACCAAGGGGGAAGGGACTTTAATAGTGTTTCCATCAGATGAACCACCGTCAGTTGATGGAACAGTTTTAGATCCTGCACCTGCAATTGACCAAAATGTTATAATTAAAATATTGAGTAAACACCTTTTTTAGTCCCTGACAATATCTACGAAGTCATTTTCAGTCCCTGGCAATAAAAAAGGACCAAATTGGTCCTTGAAAGTACAAGAAAAGGGCCACTCTACATATTTGGGAGTTGACATAAGGACTAACATGGCCTTTTTTTTGTAATTTCAGGGACCAATTTGGTCCTTTTTTATTGCCAGGGACTAAAAAGAACTTCGTAGATATTGACAGGAACTAAAAGGGTGTTTACTCTAAAATATTTTCTGCAATATTCGCACGTGTAATTCTTCTGCTAACCGTCTCAGTAAATATTGATGGTATTATGCCTTAATTTGAAGAGTGATCTTGCCTATACTACCATGTGATAATGTTAACTGAGTGAATAAATAAATGATATATTGTTATTTTAAAGTAAAAAATACTTATATTTATACCAAACTTTATATAATTATCTAATATAAATTAATTTAGCACGCGCAAGTGCGAATTGAATATCAGAATTTCTCGACTTTATCTGTTTTTCCTAGTTTATTGTACAACTTCAAGGTGTTGTAATGTACCTGAGGGAAAGTCTGAAGCAGAAGGTGTAATAGAGCCTTCAGGTGATTCTGTTGGAGAACCAACTGGAGCAATTGAAGGAGATATTGGTCCATTGCCAGCTAAATTCATGACATGAAAACAAAGTTATGTTAATTAGCCTCTATATATATTAATATATATGTATATATATCGATCAGGATCATATTACATCGATGTAAGTTATACTCTCAACTTTGATTTGATCGTTATCCCATTTATATCTAATGGTTTGAAAAAAAAAAGAAAAGGGACTTGGGCTGTAAGAGTTATAATTACCTTTGCACTGGCTAATTGGTGGAGTTTGCACTTTACAAGCGGCAGGGAGAGAGAGAGCAAGAGTTTGATTTATGGTGATTCCAAAAGAGGAAGCACCACCATTAAGCACGGAGCAGAGGCACTGTGGCGAAGATTGAACTACACTTGAGAGCTGTGAGCAACATGAAGCTGATGGGGTTGATGAACTTCCCATTATGTAGTTCAGGCAAGGGCTCAAGCTAGTGAGTGCACTGGTGCAACCTGATTGGGCTGCACTTTGAGTACACATAATGGCCACAACTAGACTCAGGACAAATCCCCTAAATGCCATATTAGTTCTAATCTTTTGGAACTTCTCACAGATGTGGATACGTTGTGTTGCTGATACTGATCGATGTTTCAGTGAGAATGAAAAGACACTGAAGAATAAGTTATATAGAAAAAAAGTTCAAAGAAAAGAACAAGTAAATGCAGGTTACCTACCCTTTCTAATTAGAGGCCCTCTCGTACACAAAAAAGGCTAACCTTTTCCGAAAAGCTAGGTGTTTACCATAACTATAATTAAAGGATTACTTTATTCAATATTCTAGAATATGTTACTCTCTACCACCACAAGATAAATGGGACCTAATAAATTATAAACAGTTTTTTAACTTTTTTTCAAGACCAACATACAAATGGATTGTCAATGATTACATTGAGTCATTCAAAAATTTGTCAAAATATAAAATGTTCCATTCTAGCCAACCATACCAAACTATAAATCGGGTAATTAACAAGACATTCTTCCAATAGAAACGGTAGTTAAGGTAGTTGAACTCCCATATCATATTCAAATCTACCTGTTCCTCACCTCCTGCATGATGTTGAGTCATTGCAACATATAAATTATGTCATTATCTTTAATCAAACCCATCATCGTCTGAGACAGACTCATCATATTCTTCTTGCAGCTAATATTGACCCTCCTTTCATTCATTACAAACGACAGTGATATTAGCCCTTATAATCGCTTCAGTAAATTTGGTTACAGGGGAAACTAGGACGCCCTGCACAACCTCTATGATCAGAAGTTTCACCCCATGCGCCAATTAACTTTGTTACTGGAAGCACCAATAATGGTTTAAGGCCATTAACTACATGTTTGTGATGCATTACGGTCTTTGATGAACACTTGAATGGATTGTGCTTGCTGTTAGGTAGTAAAATCCAAAGATTAAGATCATGGAACGGTTGATTTAGTTTTCTTTTGTATTCTATTTCTTAATTCTTGAATTTTAAGTAATCAAGCCTTCAACAAAGAAAAGACTAAATGAATTGAAATTGTATTCTGATTTGTATTAACAAAAGTAACAGAGATATCTATTCAAATAAGAACAGCAATTATAAAATCCTGGACTCCTCAGTTCATGGACTTCCCTAAGCAATTCGCATTCCTGCATTTTATCATTGCTAAAGTACTTTTATCACATAGTTTGAACTACTAAAGCACGTTTATTGGAATTTCCCAATTCCAGTTTTAATCCTCAAAAGGATCATTTCGCAAGATCTTCTGATTCATTATACAAAAATGTCAAATCCTTCCTCTGGTTATCCGTAACCTAAAAGATTTAATTAGCAAAAGAATGCATTCACTTGATTTCCCAATCGCAATTATGCTAAAAATATTCCAAGATCCATTCCCATAGTTTTCTTGAAATTAAAATTGAAAGATTGCTAATTAAATGAAACTAAAGAAAGCATCACAGTGTTAATAAAAATAAGAGAATCATTCAATCATCTTGAATTCCAGAAAAAAGAAAAATTAGCTAGCCATTTCAGAGAACAAAATTAAATATTCTAAAATTGAAGTAACATGCATTACCGAATACGAAAAGGAAAAGAAAAGTAGAGTGCAGTGAGTTACAGACCAGTACTTCTTGAAACGAAAAACTCCTAATGCTAGAACTAATCAGAATTGCAGAATTTCAAAGCTTGCATGCCTTTGGTCTTTGATCTCTCCAGAAAGAAGCTTGTCAATTCCCTTTCTTCAGGAGGCAGAAGACATTACATCAAGTTTAACAAAATGTTCAAGAAAATTCTAAAGAAAATTCACTCTCAACTACAAATGAAAAATAAAAGACTTCAATGTGTACATCACAACCTAGAAAAAAACCAAAAATCATCCAAAGTATTGCTGCCGTCCTTCTTTATGTTCATCCAATTTGTTCCTTACTTACATTAACTTGGTCACGTGCTCATGTGCTCTCTCTTTTTTAAAATCTGCAAGCAATTAGTAAAATATATAAGTAAATTACTAAATTTCTATTTTTTTTAACCATTTTACCTTAATGGGCTATTTTCTTAGACTTTAGCCCACTTTTCACCTTCAACCTGAGTTATACTTAGTAATTCAAGCTTATTTAAAAGCTAACACTGGGCTATAATATAGCCAACGAGATTATTAGAAATTTAACGTGAGCGATAAAAAGTTACATTTCTAGAAGAAATGAGTTAAGCACGATACATATAAGTGAAAGCGCCATAAATTTAATGTTTTAAACTTTTTAATTTGAATTGATTATTTACTATCCTAATTACCAACTATGCGTTATATTAATATTCATATTAGACCTCAAAAAGGGCTAAAGCCCTGGGCCAACCCATATGGCCCCATGCAAAGTCCATTCAATTTTAGCCCTTTATTTAATAGGGCCAATATAACCTTGAGCCCATAAAGCCCTTTCATTTACAGAGCCAGGTGGGGCTGCCCCGAGGGCCAAAATTATTACCATCAGTTTACACTTTCTCTCCCAATCTCCCATGCCCTTTGGGCGTTTTCCACTATAGCCATAGTTTTCTCTGGAAAATACAAAATTCTTCATCCCCTTCTCAAAACCCCAGTATCTTTTGGGTTTGTTAGAATCAATTGCACGTAGATAAGCATCACACATTGCATTCTATTTTCTTCTCCAAACCATTCAAGGTATATTTCTCTAATACCCTGATTTTCTGCAATCACCTTTTGCTTTGAAATCATGGTGACGGTCATTCCCTAATTTACTTGTTCTTTATCCTCATAATACTGAGAAATCTGTTTCGATTTTATATTTGTTTTCTGTTATTGTTGCTTGGGTAGTGACTGAAAGAAAAAAAAAATGTTGGGAAACTTTTTCATTCGAAAATCAAGACTAAAATACTCACGTTGGAGCTGTTTTGGGATTTTTATTTTTTTAATATTGATAAGGCAAGTCCATTCATGTCAAACTGTTCTGAAATGCAAAATTCTGGGAGCTTTAGTTTGGATAAGGCAAGTCCATTCATGCTAGCAAAGGAAAACGTCTTTGTTCTGTTTGGTTGTTCCACAACATCTCCAGTGTTTGATTCAACAGAAGATTTCTGTGATACAGGTTCTGGTTCTCGTGTTTGTAGAGGAATGTATTCTTGCAAAGGGGTGACAGGAATTGGGTTGGCACAGAATGCACCAATCAACACTTGTTGTGTCTATGATTACCCCACTGGACTTGGCTTAGGCTATAGTTTAGATCTTCCAAAGTAAAAGAACGTGAAAAATGGTCACGAATCTTGAGTTTGGAAACAATCAATCAAGGGATAAAGTTATTCCAGCAATATTTAGGTCTTTTAATAATTTTATATCGGATAAATTTATATAGAGCAACGCCTATATAAATTTTGACAGCTTTAATTTTACCTATTTCTACTGTGCTTCATTTCAATTATTAGCAGGTTACTTTTTTCTTATTGTTATTTGATTATATGGAGATTTAATTTTAAAATGTCTAGTGTTTAATCAAACATGCAATGATCAAAGTTACCCCTTTTCTTTTTGGTTGTGTTTAATCAATAATTAAAGAAGATAAATCTGTTTAATATGTCCACACACACAAAAAAAATCTATTTAATATTGCACAGTCCTTTCGGGGTCGATTCAGGGCCATATCTAGTGACACAAAGTTGTTGTTGTCTTTCTTGCTTTGGTTGTTGCATAAATATGTAACAAAACCACATCTTTCTTGTAGAATTGTGTAGAGCTATCCGAATTCTGTGTTGTGCTGTTGGAACTGTGGTTTTCCAATTATCTGGTTTTGTAAGTCACATCTTTTTTTTTTTTTGTGAATAATAAATCTGATTGTTTCTAACTTAGATTTTGACCTAGTTAATTGGAAGACTGAATTCATGTGAGTTCTCTTCAAGATTATGTTTCTGCTTTTCATGTTTGTGGATGCTGAATAATTGTTTTAAGGGGAAATAGGGGAATTGGGTGGATCTGTTTAGGTGGGTCTGGTATACTTTTTAAGTAGTGGCATTGACATCTAGCTATGTTAGATTATTTCTCTTTAGAGGGTGGAGGTGGAACTGCTATCCAACTACTACCAACTGCATGGAAATATTATGTTAGTGGATCTATTTACTTACGTCTAATACATAGATGCATTCTTGACTTGTTAAATTCTAAAGTAATGACACTGAGTAGATATGCTGAGTTATATCTTTCCATATAACTCAGCATATTTTCCACCTAGTTACAACATGGGAATATTATAATCGCATGTGTGCATGATTCAATTTATTGATATACGGTATAACATATTTTCATCCTTTAATGGTTACTCAAATGGAATGTAGTTTAGATCATTGACGATTCTATTGGTTCTAGATGCAATTTCTGGAATTCAGCAAGCATTAGCTTTTAGTTATACTAATTATAGATGCATCAGTTGTATTGCAATATAGTTGGTTTGTCCTCAGAGACAATGGAAAGGAAACACTTGGATTACTCAAACTAAAAGTTGTCTGTTCTATATCCCTTATCTTTTTCTATCCCTCGTGTCTTGAGTCTAAGTGGTGATGGACTGGTGGTAACAAAGTGGTATTTCAAAGGCAATGAGAAATAAAGTTTTGATTCTGGAAACTATGTGAGAAGCTTTAATCTTGGATTGTAATATCTCCTTCCTTTTTGTCCGCTTCAGTACAGCCTTGAATTCATCTATCGCTTGTGGTATTGTATGGTAAACAATATGTCGAATCTAGTATATCATATGTTCAGGCTTGGCTTATCTACAATGTTATCTATATGGGCTTTTTTTTTTAACAAAAAAAAGACACATTAAATTTTTGGAAGGCCCACGGGCTGGGCCTAACCCATAGGGCTTTTGGCCCATGTGGCCCAATATCATTGTGGGCTTTTTGGCCCTAATCCACATGGGCTAGGGTTAAATGGGCCGGGCTAGCCCATTTTGACAGCTCTACATATGATGAATGGCTAATCCTGCTCCATGTATTCAGCTGCCAAAAATGAAGAACCAAATGAGAAATTTTCATATTCTTATTATTGGAATAAAAAATTCATTTAGTGAAAAAACAAGCCAACATTAATAACTATTGCTTCAAGTAATAAAGAATTTGATTTCCTCAACTAAAGATTTCAAATTAAAAATGGATTGGATAAAAAAAACAAACAAACGAACAAGATTGTGTTAAAAAAAAATTAGAGACTATTGTTAGTTTATTACATTCAAATTTTTTGAAATAAAAATGATTCTCAACGTAAAAGAGTAAAATTGTTTTCTATATAAGGTTGATAAAATTGATTTGTCAATGCATTTAATTTCAAACTTTTAATTAATTGAGTTATATAATTAAATTCGCTTAAACAAATAAATTAATTGGTTTAATTTTTTTATTTGTATTTTTAAATTTTCTTTTAGGGCTTTTTCAGCTTATGCCTTCATTTTTTCCCCCTTCCCAGGTGCGTAGCACACCACACCACACGACTACAGCAGCATAAGACAGAGTGACAGACACCCCTTCTCTTCCTCTCCGCACCGCACTCTACCGCTACCAGAGTACCAGGTACCATTAATTCGTTTCATTCTGAGTTTTCATTATGTTTGGTTTTCAGTTTTCTCTTCTTAATTACTGCTGAATGCTAAATCTGCTGTCGATATTGCGTACTGCGTAATATGTTTATTCTGTGAAAGGTTTTAATTATTTTCATTTTTGCATGCTTAATTTTTTTTCCTACTGTTGTACATTTTAGATTTAGCTCTCTTTTTTTATTTGTTTCTTAGCCTGTTATGCTATTATATATATACTCATTCAAATATGAAAGTTTCGGATGAAGTAGTAGAGAAAGAACAATAATTAATGCTGTGGTAGAAATATCTGCAAAGGTATGGAGATATCTTACTTTCTGGATTTATGATTACGCAATCACTCCTTGGCGTTTGGAAGGGTTAGAGCCAGGTGTGAACTTCAAAGTAAAATAGCAAATTTGCTAGAATTTTAGTTGGAATTTGGATAGGGAACAACCTAGAAAACTATCCCTCTTTATCCTCTGTTAAATCTTGATCAATTTTAGTTGGAGAGGAAGACTGGAGAAGTTCTTCAATTATGAAATGGCAATTTGTGTTACCGCTTCCTTTCTTTGTTTCCTCTCTCCCCTGTGATCCTTCTGCTTTTTTGAACAAGTTGTGAGTGAAAAAGGGTTATGTGTTCCCTTTATTCAACTTGAGAATTTTGGATTTTTGGTTTAGAAAATTTCTTCCTTACTTCCATTATTTCATTGACTGGCTCTCTTTCCAATTCCTCTACCTGATTCTTGTCCTGATTAAAATGTTCTCAATTCCAATCATCAAGTTCAGATCTAATGACTCTGACTTATTTTACCACATTTATAATTCTAAACTTCTATTTGACATAGTTAACATTTAACAAACATTTAAATACAGTACAAGCTTATATTTTTCCTATCTTTCTCAAAACAAATATGCTAGTGAAACGCTCACTTTTAGATTTTCCATTGCTGAAGTACAACTTGGAACATTAGAAGGCTTCTTTTTATATCTGAAAAAAAGAATCTTTAATATAATTAAAGGCAAAGAGATACATTGTTTTGCACTATATAAGATCAAGACTCTTCATATACACCAATTGTAAGTGATGATGTAGTACCTTAAATTGTAATTAGATGTTGCCAATTGTAATTCCTTGTGTTCATACAAGTAGCTAAAGATCCTATGCTCGTGGAGAAAAGCATTGTTTGTTTCCTTGTGTTTCATTGCTTATTATTTAGAAGGGAGGATTGGTGTTTACGAAGAGTGAATCAACGCATACCGTCCCATCCCATTTTTTCAGGTTAGAGGCAGGGAGGGGTGGGTCAACCCTCTCTGCGACCTCCGGTGCTAGAGTTCTTTTATAAAATTTATTTATTTCATCATCTAACATTTAAATATTGTATAAAGAAAATGATACTTTAATTTGAATAAATCATACACTGATATAACTCAAATATTAGCAATAAATGATATATCTTTAAAAAATATTTTTATTAAGTAATATGTAAGATTAACAAAACTATAATTGATGAAAAATAAAATAAAATAGATAAAAAGAATATATGTAGTAATGAATTGATAGAAGTGAAGATATTTGTTATGAAAGACAAAAATATGAGACGAGGCCCATATAGTGTGAGATCCAGTCCAGGCTTGAGCAATATTATTCAGTTGAGTACCTCAACTTAAGTTTCGAGTTCACAGTTTCAACGTTGCCCTAACTCTGTTCTCTTGCACCAACAATTTCATCCATTACCCCCTCTCCTCCTCCTCTATCTCTTCAATTCAAGCTTACCTTTGTTTTCACGGCGAGGAGGTTTGTGCTTTCTCATTCTTTTCATTTAATTAAGTGATGGGTTTTATTATGTCCAAAGGAAAGATGGATTCCCTTTTGGGGTTGGATTTGCAATTTCCATTTCCTGTGTGTAGAAGCTTATGTTATGGGATTAGTTGTCAAATTCATCTGTTTGCTGCATAGAATAGAACAGAGATTAACAAAAAAACAAACCTTCAAAGTTGGACCATTCAAAGATATAATTTTTAAGAAGTTGTTTTTAAACTGATCATTCGCTTTCTTGCCGTTTTTTCTTTCTCTTGTAGTTTTTGTGATTTTAGAGGGCAGGGCTAAGCTGAAATGGGTTGGAAAGCAGCTGAGAAACTCATTAGGCACTGGAAAGTTCTCAGAGGGGACAATGTAAGCCAAGCCATACCCAAAATATATTTTTCAATGCTCTTTCCTACTTTCACTTTTATTTTATAGTTATAGTCACATGCATGTTTTCATTTGACAGGTTATGATAATAAGGGGCAAAGATAAGGGAGAGACTGGGATTATAAAGCGTGTTATTCGCTCTCAGAATCGTGTCATTGTTGAGGGTAAAAATCTGGTGAGAGATAGACACAGCACTTATCATCACATTTGGGCAGTCTAGTTTTCTATCTTCCGTCGCATATAACTTCTTATTTCTAGGTTTTGACAAGTGCCTGTTTTTTCAATTCCATTATCAATGTGTCTTGCGTCAGAATCTTAATCAAATGTCTCATTGAGCATGTGATTATGTAAATTTTCCTGATAGATTTATCTTCACACCAAATCCTTTGGACTTCCTCTTTACAGGTAAAGAAGCATATCAAGCAAGGGCAAGGTCATGAAGGGGGCATCTTTACAGTTGAAGCCCCACTTCATGCCTCTAATGTGCAAGTTATTGACCCAGTGACAGGGTATGCACAAGTGTTCAGAAATTGCACTGATGATTGCATCACTGGAGGTTGGGGATAACATATTTTACTTATGCAGGAAGCCTTGCAAGGTTGGAGTTAAATATCTTGAAGATGGTACTAAAGTCAGAGTATCCAGAGGAATAGGAGCATCTGAGTCCATAATCCCTCGTCCTGAGATCTTAAAGATAAGAACTACCCCAAGGCCTTCAATCCGTAAGTATCTAAAAATCTTTCCTTTTTTCGTGTTTATTTTTTTGTTGAGAAACATGGCAAGAGTCAAGAGAGAATTGAAAGAAAGTGAGAAACTGAAAAAGAACTTGGATTGAAATGAGAAAGGTGTGTTCAACAGGCGAATATTGTGGCTTATATAGACTAGAGAGAACAACTAATCACTAACTAACTACATGTCTCATCAAACTAACCAAATGATGGTGATTGTTGATTTTTCTCATTTAATTCTAATGATGTACCTCTGCTCTTCTTCGGTACATGTCCATTAACATATGTGGTTAACCATAAGCTTGTTATCATAATTGACATTGAAGGAGAGCGGCCTTGCACTGAAACTGACTCCTCCTTTTGTTGAAATACATAATAGTTAGCCCAACATAAAAGAAAGCTTTTGGAAAAGGAAAAAAAAAAGAGGGGTTGGGGTGGGGAAGGAGGGGGGGGAGGGGGGAGTTGATTAAATGTTGAGGAAGATCAAAAGTGTTAGATTTGTGAAATGCATTCCATTGTCTTAAAAAAATTTGCTTCTAGAATGTATATTGGTTAGAAAGCATGATAGACATGCACTCCATATGCCCATATGCAGAAACACAAGTAGAAAGCTACATTTTGTATAGTGTAACACTGTAATTTGTTGGTCGGAGGAATTTGGATTGATGGATTTTAGTCTTCTGTAATATTCAATTTTGAGTCAGAAGCTAGGTTCAAGGCAGAGGTAATTGACGTGAACTAATTCTCTTGTTCCAACGTCAATCACGACAGCTGTTTTTTCAACCTAGTGTTTAAGAAGCTACTTCAGTTGGAGTGAATGTGCAAAACTTAAATGGATATATGGAATTCAGTGGCAAACCGATGATTTGTTAATTCTCAAAGATTCATTTGGAGGTGTTTGGTAGAGGAGAAATTTTTTTTTATCAGGGAAATGTAATTACTAGCAAAAAAGTAGGAAAGTAAGTTTAGTAGGAAAATTTTAGAAAAGTTGTTTGGTTGAGTAAAATATTACTGGAAAAAAGCACATTGAAAGTTGTAAGTTGTACGGGATATATGTTGTTTTTTTGCCATTTACCCAGTTTTCTCCCAAATACCATGTTGAAAGTTGCATTCTTATATAGTGAATATGTTGCTTTTTTACATACAATTGATAATGCCTGGGGAAAAGCATTTGATAGGTAAATTTCTTAATCTCTTCTACCAAATGGGGACAACCGAAAATGCTACATTCAGTCAATTGGGGAAATTTTCAAATATCCCGAACCAAACGCCAAACATATTTCATAAACGTACTGAGTATCTGACCCTGTTTGTTATTCATTGTTGGCAGTTGGTCCCAAAGATACTCCGTTGGATCTTGTGTTAGAGAAGACTTACGATGCTAAAACAGGAAGGGGCATGCCTGAACTTTAGGGAGATTAGGTGCCCTTATTCCAATTAGGTAGCTGCCATCACCTGAACAGGATATGGCATGAGTTTGTCACATGTTTCCGGTTATCGTGATTTGGTTAAATTGCTTTCAGATTTTCTAGCATAATATGATTGTATCTGGGAGTTACAAATTACTTGTAGCTTTCTTTTACCTATTTTAGACATTACTAGTAGCTAGCAAAAAAAAATTATTTTTTCTATTCAGTGGATGTTATAAGCTTCCTGTTAGTGATGGTTGTTTCACTCCAAAACTTATAAATTGTTAAAATGAGTGAAGAAAAAAAAAAAAAAAAAGGAACTCTTTTGATTGTGCTTATACTTTTTAACAACTTAATATAGCTCTGGTGATTTAATTAATTGAATTCTTCTTGATTCCAGCAAGGTTTTTCAAAGACCAATATGTCGTATCTCACAATTTATCCGTTGGAATTTTTTTCAACCAGTTTCATCAAACCTTACTGTGCGAAGTCAGGTTGCATGAAAGTTGTCAAAAAAAACTTTAGCTGAATGTTATGGCTCAAGCTTATGACGAGAGCAAACTCGAATGACTAGCTTATTGAAGTCATGCTCGGTGTTCGATGCCTTTGAATGCCTCGGCTCTTAATTTTCCTATCTTTTGCCACCCGCATTCTCACTGGATTTCGTATTTATGCAGTTGTAATGCCCTGAGATTCGAGCCATTTTTCTAGTTGTTATGTATGTATATACACGTAATTAAGTAAGCATTGACAGTGTTTAGAACTTACAGACGAAGTATTATTTAAAATTTTTTCTACTAATCATGCCTCAAATTTGGATAACCCTATTCTATCAAATGTAACGGGGGGAACATTTTTCCTTGTGTAGTGATTTTTTTTTTCTTTTTACTTTTTAGCAAGATAAAGGAATTTCATGAGTAGCAAATATAAAAATGACGTCATAAAATTTAGGAACATCATAAAACAGCGAGTGACCCCCTTAAAGGCTGATAATGGAGTGACATTTGGAGATGGAAAATAATGGCCACGAAACATGATATTTTGACGTTAGCAATAAGTGAAATTCGTTTACAAAGTGGGTTTTAGTAGTTTGTTAATTTTTTTTAAGGGTTTAATTCATCTACAATGAAAATAGCTTATCTTCCGTGAGTTCAAAATAACATCGTTTTGAGGTTGAATAAAATGTATTTTTATAATTCTAATTTATTCTAGGATTATATTAATTTTTATTATTATAATTTTTTAATCTTCTAACTTTAAAACGATGTCCTTTTGGATTCATTAGAAATAATTTTATCTTTTGAAACTGGCACACTATAAAACTCATTATTAACAAATAATTTAAGGGTTTGATGTTTCTTATATTGTAAGAGAAAAAATTATCTCCTATACACACATAAAAGTATGTGGCTATGTGAAGAAAAAAGAGAGAGAAAAAAATGATTCTCATACACGTAACTTTTATGTGTATGCAGAAAATAATTTCTTATGAGAGAGATTAAATCCATAATTTAATAGTTTTCAATCTTGATAAAATAATAGATTGAGCGAGTTGTGAAAAATGTTCAGAATGATTCAAGAAATGTTGCCCCACTGCTTATTAAAAAATAAAAAATAAACTATTGCACACTCAATTTAAGGTCATACTAACTCGAGAAAGAATTCTCATAATTCTTTTCCCCTACATTTTAATATAAGATCTTTTATCAATATAACTTGTCGCTATGCGAACTAGCGCATCAACGATGTGATTAGCGTTTATTTTCAATTTTTATTAGAGTAAAATGGTGTTCAACAAATTTCATAATACCTTTTTTTAGTTCCTAGCAATAGAAAAAGTCATGTGTGGTTTTTGATTTTTTCAAATTAAGCCCACGTTAATTCTTCCGTTAGTGGGGCTCCAACGTCGTTAATGACGCTTCTCAAGTGGACAGTTAAATCGCTGAGTCAGATTCCACATAAGATATAAAACGATTTCGTACCTTAAGAGGCTGTCTTCTTCTCTTTCATTTCTTTATTTCTGAAAATACAATAACACAACACACCCATCTTCTTTTCCACAACCAAATCTCACGCAAATCCTGTTGACGTTTCTTTATTTCTGACAGCAACTTGTTATCATCAACAACACAAGTATTCAACCCTCGGATATGTCTATTTCTGGCAAAAAAAAATTAAAATAATATTTTTTAATTAAATAATTATGTATTTATTGCAGTTTTGAAAAAAATTACGGATCTATTGCACACTGTGATGCCTCTTTTGGGCGTCACATGTTACGCCCAATTGAGGCATCTCATCCTAAGGGGAAGACGCCCAAATGGGATGTCTCTCATGAGATGTTGACATGTGTCACTTTTTTTCCCAAAAAAATAATTAATTTAATCATAAAACTTCTAAAGGCCATAGCTTTTGACTCGAGTATCCAAATCAGGTAATTCTTTTTTTGATTCCACATAACTTTTCGAGATCTACGCAATGACATCTCATTTGATATATTTTATTTCTCACAAACATAATTTAAATTTAAATCAAGTAATCCTTCTTCCTTAGATATTTAAAATATTTATTTAATTATTTTCTTTATTAATACAGATTTTTCAAATTGATTTTTGAGTTTAAATCACAAATCAAATCTTTATTTTGTTTTCCTTATTAATAATAATTGTTACTTTTAATTTAAATCACAAACCAAATTTTTGTTATAATAAAAATAAACAAATTTATTTTTTTAATTTAAATCACACATCAAATCTTGATTTATTTTTTGTATTAAATCACAAACGCAGAACTCAGAGGCTTCTAAGTTTAAAAATGTGATGCGTGTCAACACGTGTCAAAACCTAACACTTCACCAATCACGTCTAAATTGGGTTTCAATCAAGAGGCAATCACGTCTAATTAAGGTAATTTTATTTTTGAAAAATATTCATAAGCCATTATTAATTTCAGACCACGAATAATAACCCAGAAGCTTATAGAATTAATCATTAGTTTTAAAAATAATATCCTTCTTCCTTAGAAATTTAGAATATTTATTTAATTATTTCCTTTATTTCTACATATTTTTCAAATTGATTTTTTAGTTTAAATCACAAATCAAATCTTTATTTTGTTTTCCTTATTAATAATTTTTATTTTTATTTTGAATTTAAATCACAAACCAAATTTTTGTTATAATAAAAAAAATTATTATAAAAAAAATATAAATCAAAAATCAAAATTTTATTTATTTATTTTATATTAAATCACAAATCCGGAGCTAAGAGGTTTCTGGGTTTAACCGCTCTTATAATACCCTTCTTGCAAATTAAAATTGTGTTTGTGAGAAATAAAATATGTCAAATGAGATGTCATTGCGTAGATCTCGAAAAGTTATGTGGAATCAAAAAAAGAATTACCTGATTTGGATACTCGAGTCAAAAGTTATGGCCTTTAGAAGTTTTATGATTAAATTATTTATTTTTTTGAAAAAAAAAGTGACACGTGTCAACACCCCATGACACTTAGGGTGAGACGCCTCAATGGGGCGTCACAGTATGCAATAGATCCGTAATTTTTCTCAAAACTGCAATAAATGCGTAATTATTTAATTAAAAAATATTATTTTAATTTTTTTTCCTAATATCCTGTTTTAACAAATGTAACCATGACAACCAATTTCAGAGAATCAACAGAAAAAGAGACCCAAATCAAACCATAAAACATATGCCAAAAGCACGTTGAAGTAAGTATTGCCTAAAACATAGTTAGGATCAGTGTTAAGGAAAATCCATATACTAAACAATATAATGGCATCCAAGTACACTCCATCTCCTCAGGTAAAAGAACCAAAAATCAAAAATAAAAATTCTAGAGGCATAGATTTTGGAAGAATGCTTCCCAGCTCTCATACTGCTACTGATTTATACGGCTGGATAACCAACCAGTCTTTGAAACCCATCCATTAATATTCTGCAAAACAGACTCGTCAGGTTGACTGGTCCAACCCAAAAAGATCACCTAGTTGAGTAGCCCAATCTTGATGCTCAAAAAGTAGACTATTTAATTCATCAAGCTCACCATGCTGAGAAGCACAGTCCATAAGCCCATCAAATTGATCTATAGAACCTACAAGCACACTTTTAGAATCCATCATCCTATTAGTATTATAATCGAGTGACTTCGTGAGAGCAGGGATAAGTTGTCTTTGAGATATGTTCTGCATGAAATTGAATTGGCCTGGATCAGAGGTAGCACACTCTTGAGCCATATCTTGTATAAAACTGGCTAGACAAGAGGCAGCACTCTCATGAACCATATTTTTTATAATACTGAAGTTGGCTTCACTTTGAAGCTCATTTTGCATGTCAATTCTCTGATTACAAACTCCATTACTAGAACCAAACATAGCATTAATGATGTTCCCATTATTGAGTTGCTTCATAGGAGAAGCAGGGACAGGGATATGTTGGCTTTCAGATATAATCTCCATGTAATTGAGTTGGCTAGGATACGAAGCACCAGTCTTCTGAGCCATGTTTTGAATGAAACTGAAGTTGGCTTCACTATGAAGCTCATTTTGCATGTCAATTCTCTGATTACAAACTCCATTATTAGAACCAAACATAGCATTAATGATGTTCCCATTATTGAGTTGCTTCATATGAGAAGCAGGGATAGGGATATGTTGGCTTTCAGATATAATCTCCATGTAATTGAGTTGGCTAGGATACGAAGCACCAGTCTTCTGAGCCATGTTTTGAATGAAACAGATGTTGAATGAATGTTGGCTTCACTTTTATGCTCATTTTTTAGCATGTTAATTCTCTGATCACAAGCTCCAATCTTATCATCCAACGTAGCAATGAAAGCCTCCAGCTGCTCCTCTCCTAAGTTGTTGAAGCTTGGATGACAAGTTGGATACTTTGTCTTGAAGATATCTTTATTCACTCTGGAAATCTCAGCCTCAACCATGTTCTTCTTATTCTTGAAAAAGTCTTCAAGATCAAAGGTCTTGAGGGGTTTCTCATTTTTTTGACGCTCATACTTGTCAATGATGGAGTGTGCCTTTATAGGGTCTCGGGGCCAAGTCATAGGTTGAGCATCCCCATTCTCATCATACACAATTAAGCAAGCTTCAACTCCACACATAGTTGAAAATTTGGATACTTTCTTCATTAGTCCCTTCCTTCTCTGGATGGAAGTTGCTTTTCGAGCTCCATCATTTGGAATACGTTTGAAGGTTGTCCTTGAACGACCCATGTCCTACAACATATATATATATATACAAAAAGTTATCAATCATACAGTACTTGATGTTAGATCAATGGCTCTAATAATGTTATAATAGTTATCAATGGACGACTTCTTGAGCTATTATAACATTATCAAGAAGTCGTCCATTCCATACGCAGGAAAAAAAAATAAAAAAAATAAACTTTATCAATTCCTTAATTCTCTTGGGTTTCAAGTCTCAGAGGTAGATTCTGTTAAACTGTCACACGCTGCATTGTCAACAGTTCAAAAAAGAAAGGTTCTTTGGAATTGCATTTGACAGAGAGGGCGAAGGAACGAAGAAGCAGACATGGCCATGGTTAATGGGTAATTGAAAAACAAGATCTTTTAAGAGAAGTAACTATTCAAAGAGAGCAGAGCATCTCAAATCATCAAGAAACCAAGACTTTTATATAATCTAAGTTTTAGCCTATCAAACTCTTTTGACTATGAATTTGTGTTTTTTTTTCTAATGGAAATAGAATAAAATATAACAGAATTAAAATTGAAAATTCGGATACTTTCTTCATTAGTCCCTTCCTTCTCTGCATGAAAGTTGCTTTTTGAACTTTATCATTTGGAATACGTTTGAAGGTTGTCCTTGAACGACCCATGTCCTACAGCACACACACACATATATATATATATACAAAAAGTTATCAATCATACAATACTTGATGTTAGAGCTCGATAATTTTTAGATCAATGGCTCTGATAATCTTATAATAGTTATCAATGGACGACTTCTTGAGCTATTATAACATTATCAAGAAGTCGTCCATTCCATGCGCAGAAAAAAAAATTTATATATTCCTTAATTTTCTTGGGTTTCAGGTCTCAGAGGTAGATTCTGTTAAACTGTCACACACTGCATTATCAACAGTTCAAAAAAGAAAGGTTCTTTGGAATTGCATTTGACGGAGAGGGCGAAGGAACAAAGAAGCAGACATGGCCATGGTTAATGGGTAAGTGAAAAACAAGATCTTTTAAGAGAAGTAACTATTCAAAGGGAGAAGAGCGTCTCAAATCATCAAGAAACCAAGACTTTTATATAATCTAAGTTTTAGCCTATCAAACTCTTTTGACTATGAAATTCAGGTTCCCAAGAAAGAAAGAAAGAATTTGTGTTTTTTCTAATGGAAATAGAATAAAATAGAATAGAATTAAAAAGAAAGAATTTGAAAATATTATTAGAATAAGAAAAAATGACCCTGTAAATGTTGTAAGTGTAAAAATACAGAAGTCGTACCTCCAACAATTGAGTTTAGGGCTAGGGCTAGGGATAGGGATAAGGATAAGGATTAATGATGTTCCCATTATTGAGTTGCTTCATAGGAGAAGCAGGGATATGGATATGTTGGCTTTCAGATATAATCTCCATGTAATTAAGTTGGCTAGGATACGAAGCACCAGTCTTCTGAGCCATGTTTTGAATGAAACAGACGTTGGCTTCACTATATAGCTCATTTTGCATGTCAATTCTCTGATTAAAAACTCCATTATTAGAACCAAACATAGCATTAATGATGTTCCCATTATTGAGTTGCTTCATAGGACAAGCAGGGATAGAGATATGTTGGCTTTCAGATATAATCTCCATGTAATTGAGTTGGCTAGGATACGAAGCACCAGTCTTCTGAGCCATGTTTTGAATGAAACAGACGTTGGCTTCACTATGAAGCTCATTTTGCATGTCAATTCTCTGATTACAAACTCCATTATTAGAACCAAACATAGCATTAATGATGTTCCCATTATTGAGTTGCTTCATAGGAGAAGCAAGGATAGGGATATGTTGGCTTTCAGATATAATCTCCATGTAATTGAGTTGGCTAAGATAGGAAGCACCAGTCTTCTGATCCATGTTTTGAATGAAAAAGACGTTGGCTTCACTATGAAGCTCATTTTGCATGTCAATTCTCTGATTACAAACTCCATTATTAGAACCAACATAGCATTAATGATGTTCCCATTATTGAGTTGCTTCATAGGAGAAGCAGGGATAGGGATATGTCGGCTTTTAGATATAATCTACATGTAATTGAGTTGGCTAGGATACGAAGCACCAGTCTTCCGAGCCGTGTTTTAAATGAAACAGTTGGCTTCACTTTTATGCTCATTCTTTAGCATGTAATTATCTGATCACAAGCTCCAATCTTATCATCCAACATAGCAATGAAAGCCTCCAGCTGCTCCTCTCCTAAGTTGTTGAAGCTTGGATGACAAGTTGGATACTTTGTCTTCAAGATATCTTTATTCACTCTGGAAATCTCAGCTTCAACCATGTTCTTCTTATTCTTGAAAAAGTCTTCAAGATCAAAGGCCTTGAGGGGTTTCTCATTTTTTTGACGCTCATATATGTCAATGATGGAGTGTGCCTTTATAGGGTCTCGGGGCCAAGTCATAGGTTGAGCATCCCCATTCTCATCACACACAATTAAGCAAGCTTCAACTCCACACATAGTTGAAAATTCGGATACTTTCTTCATTAGTCCCTTCCTTCTCTGCATGTAAGTTGCTTTTCGAGCTTTATCATTTGGAATACGTTTGAAGGTTGTCCTTGAACGACCGATGTCCTACAGCACACACATATATATATATACAAAAAGTTATCAATCATACAGTACTTGATGTTAGAGCTCGATAATTTTTAGATCAATGGCTCTGATAATCTTATAATAGTTATCAATGGACGACTTCTTGAGCTATTATAACATTATCAAGAAGTCGTCCATTCCATGCGCAGAAAAAAAAATTTATATATTCCTTAATTTTCTTGGGTTTCAGGTCTCAGAGGTAGATTCTGTTAAACTGTCACACACTGCATTATCAACAGTTCAAAAAAGAAAGGTTCTTTGGAATTGCATTTGACGGAGAGGGCGAAGGAACAAAGAAGCAGACATGGCCATGGTTAATGGGTAAGTGAAAAACAAGATCTTTTAAGAGAAGTAACTATTCAAAGGGAGAAGAGCGTCTCAAATCATCAAGAAACCAAGACTTTTATATAATCTAAGTTTTAGCCTATCAAACTCTTTTGACTATGAAATTCAGGTTCCCAAGAAAGAAAGAATTTGTGTTTTTTTTCTAATGGAAATAGAATAAAATAGAACAGAATTAAAAAGAAAGAATTTGAAAATATTATTAGAATAAGAAAAAATGACCCTGTAAATGTTGTAAGTGTAAAAATACAGAAGTCGTACCTCCAACAATTGAGTTTAGGGATAGGGATAGGGATTAATGATGTTCCCATTATTGAGTTGCTTCATAGGAGAAGCAGGGATAGGGATATGTTGGCTTTCAGATATAATCTCCATGTAATTGAGTTGGCTAGGATACGAAGCACCAGTCTTCTGAGCCATGTTTTGAATGAAACAGACGTTGGCTTCACTATGAAGCTCATTTTGCATGTCAATTCTCTGATTACAAACTCCATTATTAGAACCAAACATAGCATTAATGATGTTCCCATTATTGAGTTGCTTCATATGAGAAGCAGGGATAGGGATATGTTGGCTTTCAGATATAATCTCCATGTAATTGAGTTGGCTAGGATACGAAGCACCAGTCTTCTGAGCCATGTTTTGAATGAAACAGATGTTGGCTTCACTTTTATGCTCATTTTTTAGCATGTTAATTCTCTGATCACAAGCTCCAATCTTATCATCCAACGTAGCAATGAAAGCCTCCAGCTGCTCCTCTCCTAAGTTGTTGAAGCTTGGATGACAAGTTGGATACTTTGTCTTGAAGATATCTTTATTCACTCTGGAAATCTCAGCTTCAACCATGTTCTTCTTATTCTTGAAAAAGTCTTCAAGATCAAAGGTCTTGAGGGGTTTCTCATTTTTTTGACGCTCATACTTGTCAATGATGGAGTGTGCCTTTATAGGGTCTCGGGGCCAAGTCATAGGTTGAGCATCCCCATTCTCATCATACACAATTAAGCAAGCTTCAACTCCACACATAGTTGAAAATTTGGATACTTTCTTCATTAGTCCCTTCCTTCTCTGGATGGAAGTTGCTTTTCGAGCTCCATCATTTGGAATACGTTTGAAGGTTGTCCTTGAACGACCCATGTCCTACAACATATATATATATACAAAAAGTTATCAATCATACAGTACTTGATGTTAGATCAATGGCTCTAATAATGTTATAATAGTTATCAATGGACGACTTCTTGAGCTATTATAACATTATCAAGAAGTCGTCAATTCCATACGCAGGAAAAAAAAAATAAAAAAATAAAAAAAATAAACTTTATCAATTCCTTAATTTTCTTGGGTTTCAGGTCTCAGAGGTAGATTCTGTTAAACTGTCACGCTGCATTATCAACAGTTCAAAAAAGAAAAGTTCCTTGGAATTGCATTTGACGGAGAGGGCGAAGGAACGAAGAAGCAGACATGGCCATGGTTAATGGGTAATTGAAAAACAAGATCTTTTAAGAGAAGTAACTATTCAAAGAGAGCAGAGCATCTCAAATCATCAAGAAACCAAGACTTTTATATAATCTAAGTTTTAGCCTATCAAACTCTTTTGACTATGAAATTCAGGTTCCCAAGAAAGAAAGAATGTGTTTTTTTTCTAATGGAAATAGAATAAAATATAACAGAATTAAAAAGAAAGAATAAGAAAAAACGACCATGTAAATGTAAATGTAAAAATACAGAAGTGGTACCTTCGCCTGAACAGAGAACTCAAACTGTGCAGTGAGAGTCAATGAGAAAGTAGTTTTAGAGTTTAGCTAGCAAGGGGTGAATTTATAGAAATTATGTTTATGATAATTCTACAGATGCCAGAATTGAAAAGAAGACGAAGAAGAAGAAAAGAGAAACAAGGATTCAAGATTCAAGATTCAAGATTGATTAGGTCAGTCTTGAGAGGACGTTTATTTCGTTTGCTAAACTGCCTTTTATATAATAAGGATTTAGTAAAGACAAAATATATTAATGTCTTATTATTTTTATTATTATTATTATTATTATTATTATTATATGTAGCATGTTACATGTAAAAATATTAATGAGATTCCTAATTAGAGTTGAATGGAAATTAAGTACTGGCTTTGATGGGGGTTTTAAATTTTATTTATTTTAAAGAAAAAATTTAGTCAAATATATTTTTGTAAAAAAAAAAAGTCAATAGTAAATTTAAAAAAATAAAAATTTTCTAAGAAGAAAGTGTGAGACTAATCCTTCTTCAAAGAGAAGGCAAATTTCCTCAAACCCCTAAAGAATTTCAAAAATTTGATTAATAGTATAAGAGTTTTCCAATTTATTTATATTACTAGCCATTGACCAGTTAGCATATATGATCAAGTTCTGTGTGAACACCTGCATCAATACAAAGACTTCTGTATGACATTATTATCAAACAAAAATTTTCTTACCATTTTGAAGCCGCCATTAAGTGCCAAGAAATAATTTGATATCAAATTGTATAGGCGATCTTTGTACTCTTCAAACAATTTTGCTAGATACTAAATTTAAACCTGTATCACTAGCATTTTTGCCTTATTGTTGGACCTAATAAGTGCACATAACCAACAATCATTTATTCAAATGTTAAGGAGATTCTTCCCCTTATCAAAGATTTTGAGTTCGAATTTTGAGAATGAAAAAAATGATGGTATGCAATGTTATTAAAATCGGCTCGATCGAGGTACTGGGTTATTGGTTCAACTAGGGGGTCACTGGTTGAACCGCATGACCCGATAATTATATGCAATTCTATAATTTATATCAAAAAATTATAAACATACTCAAATATCTAAAAAAATGATAAAAATATCAAATATTTTAATATAAAAAATAATAAATCACACATTATTATCCAATAAATGATCAAACAAAAAAATAATGATCGTGATATGAGACTTCAGTAAACGACATTTCTATGAATGGGCTTATTACCCAACCAAAAAGCAATCAGCATCATGGAACCCAAGTATTAGTTTCATGTGATGATTAACACTTTGAAAGGTTGGAATTAATAAATGAATTAATGTACAATGATCCATTGGTTATGAATAAGAAGTGAGTTAATAAAGAAAAAAGAGAAAAAGGGAAGATGAAGAGGTGTGTGGGTTTCAACAAGTCCCACATTGGACAATTAGTAGGAAATGGGAGAGTATATAAGCTCCCACTTCCCTCTCTTAGATTGGCCCTTGGGTCACTACATGTTTTATGTAGGGGGAAGAGCTAGGTGAGCATTGGTTCACCACGCGCCGCCGCCGCCCGTCCGGCCGGCTCGGATCGGATCGGTTCGGTTCGGTTCGGTCCATAGTGTGTAATAAAAAATAATTTTTTATTAAATATTTTTTTAATATTTTGTCCAAAAAATTTACCGGTGCTTCCCTCCAACCACCCGCCGGATTTTTTGAGCAGTATTGAACCGAACCGGTTCTTTCCCTTCGTGAACCAGTCATCGGTTGTGTCTGCTCGCCGGTCACCGGTCGTATCTGTTCGTCGAAACAGTCACCGGTCGCACCCGTTCGCCGCCATCAGACACGGCGGTTCGCCGCCGATGACTGTTCATCGTGACCGGTCAGTGTCTATAATTAGACACTGACACCTTCAGAAATCTATCCAGTTTTTTCTGCACTTAAACTCTGCCAGAATTTTTCTTCTTCCGGTTTTGCATACTGTTGTTCATCCTCCGGTGTGACTTCCTCTGGCATATTGTTGTGTTCGTTTGGCCTGTTGATTGGTAGTGCCACCATTCTTCAGACGAAATCTGTTCTATCTTGGGAGACAAGTGTCCATCAACCTTAGGCATCAGTGAGGGGGCAAATTGTCTTAAGGAGACACGTTCTGTGGGCTCGGATTTAATTCCTATGATACTGCATATATTCATCCTTTCATTCTGTCTGTTTCATCATTCTACCACTGACAAGTAAGTCTGTTTTTAATATTTTTAATTACACAGTGATAATTCTGATCATCTACCTCCTCTGCTTTATACATGGGTTCAAATCTATTAGTGATATAATATCACCTACTGTCTTCAATAACATGAAATAGTTATCAAAGCAAGTTGTAGCATAAATAATTACTGTTTTATGTATACATGTGTGAATCTGGCCTGAGACTCTGTTGTGCTGTTTTGGACACTTAAGTTCTCCACAGTGGACAGAGGTTTTAGGCCTAAATAAATGAAGAAATGTGAAATTTCTTCTCAATCATATAATACTAAACAGTTGTTTTATTGTGTATCATCAAATAATGTGACTAAGGATTGTCGTATGCTCTAAGTGATGCGTGACAAGCTCGGGTGAATTATGATACGCAACTAATTATGCATCATGAACTTATAACTTAGGATAGATAAAATTTGAAATAATTGAAACACATACAAGAAGGACGGGTATCACAAAATTAGTGTTATTTCCTCGTTGATCTTTAACTTACAACCATGAAAAGATAAAATTCCAAATAATTGAACACATACAAGATATTAAAAAACGGAATTCTTCATCTATTTTACTTCCAAAACTCCAAGTATAGGCAACGTAAGAAACTCAAATATACCAATAAAAAGACTAGTTACATGAATAACCAATAAAGAACCTCTTTACGCTATCAACGGTGAATACAGTTGACTAAGGGTTTGGCTCATATCCCACAAGAACTTGGGTTCAAATCTCAATATCAATAAGCAACTATCAATATCCATTACATTACTCGAAACACCGGACCATAATATTCCTGGCAAAAAAATTAAAATAATATTTTTTAATTAAATAATTATGCATTTATTGCAATTTTGAGAAAAATTACGGATCTATTGCACACTGTGACGCCCCATTGAGGCGTCTCACCCTAAGGGGAAGACGCCCAAATGGGACGTCTCTCATGAGGTGTTGACACGTGTCACTTTTTTTCCAAAAAAAAATTTAATTTAATCATAAAACTTCTAAAGGCCATAACTTTTGACTCGAGTATCCAAATCAGATAATTCTTTTTTTGATTCCACATAAATTTTCGAGATCTACGCAATGACATCTCATTTGATATATTTTATTTCTCACAAACATAATTTAAATTTAAATCAGGTAATCCTTCTTCCTTAGATATTTAGAATATTTATTTAATTATTTCCTTTATTAATACAGATTTTTCAAATTAATTTTTGAGTTTAAATCACAAATCAAATCTTTATTTTGTTTTCCTTATTAATAATAATTGTTACTTTTAATTTAAATCACAAACCAAATTTTTGTTATAATAAAAATAAACAAATTTACTTTTTTAATTTAAATCACACATCAAATCTTGATTTATTTTTTGTATTAAATCACAAACGCAGAACTCAGAGGCTTCTGAGTTTAAAAATGTGACGCGTATCAACACGTGTCAAAACCTAACACTTCACCAATCACGTCTAAATTGGGTTTCAATCAAGAGGCAATCACGCCTAATTTAGGTAATTTTATTTTTGAAAAAATATTCATAAGCCATCATTAATTTCAGACCACGAATAATAACCCAGAAGCTTATAGAATTAATCATTAATTTTAAAAATAATATCCTTCTTCCTTAGAAATTTAGAATATTTATTTAATTATTTCCTTTATTTCTACAGATTTTTCAAATTGATTTTTTAGTTTAAATCACAAATCAAATCTTTATTTTGTTTTCCTTTTTAATAATAATTTTTTTTTTATTTTGAATTTAAATCACAAACCAAATTTTTGTTATAATAAAAAAAATTATTATAAAAAAATTTAAATAACAAATCAAAATTTTATTTATTCTTTTATATTAAATCACAAATCCAGAACTCAGAGGCTTCTGGGTTTAACCGCTCTTATAATACCCTTCTTGCAAATTGAAATTGTGTTTGTGAGAAATAAAATATGTCAAATGAGATGTCATTGCGTAGATCTCGAAAATTTATGTGGAATCAAAAAAAGAATTACCTGATTTGGATACTCGAGTCAAAAGTTATGACCTTTAGAAGTTTTATGATTAAATTAAATTTTTTTTGGAAAAAAAAGTGACACGTGTCAACACCTCATGACAGACGCCCCATTTGGGTGTCTTCCCCTTAGGGTGAGACGCCTCAATGGGGCGTC